TACTGGGTGGACTCGGGGCCTGAGACTGCATTTTGTTCCTTCTCTTTGTCATTTTGTATATCACTGTCTTCTGACCTTTGGTGTACAGCTTAGATAGATATTACCTTAGCACTAGGTCTGGATATACGAAGTTCAGATTCTTCCAGGTGGGTGTTGTTTGGATCTGGGTGCTGTGCTCCACTTCTTTCTGTTGCAGGCATTAGAGTTGAACCCTTTGTGTCTCTCTGGGAATATGTTCTGCTCCTGAGTCAGCTGGGTGGGTCTTGCCTCTAGCCTCTTTGCAGGGAGTTCTGCTGAAGGGTTCCCTGCTGGGCCTGCAGCCTGGGGCGAATGAGGATCCTGCGGGCCCCTGGTTGGTTCACTTACTTGCTGGGCCTGCGCTCTGGGTCTGTTCAGGATCCTGCTGGCCTGGGTTGTCTCACTCACTCTCCCGGCCAGCGATCTGGGTCTATTCAGGATCCGGAGGGCCCCAGGTCCTGTCACTCACTGGCTGGACCTGCGCTCTGGGTCTGTGCGTGATCCCGCAGCCTGGGTCGTCTCACTCACTCACCAGGCCTGCGCTCTGGGTCTGTTCAGGACCCCGCGGCCTGGGTCGTCTCCGGTGTGAGCCTTTCAAGGTCAGTGTGGACTCAGGATATAGTAGCACTTGTACTTTAACATCCTGTAACTCAGTTGTGTCCCAAATTTAGTGATCAAGGAGATTATGGGGTCACAGAGAAAAGTGACCAACGATATAGAGTGTGCCTAAAGAGAATCAGATGTAGGGAAAAATTTCTCTCAGGCTTTCAGAGAGAGCAAATTCGTCAACTAAGGGCTGTGACTCATCCACATGACTGAGACTAATGAAGGATCTACAAACTGCGGCACACTCTTTCAGGGTAATTCCTGAGGGAATTTGACTGACCTTGTCAGATACAACAGTTACATTTCTGGTTATACAAGTGTTGCTTTATCTTGGTCTTAACCATCCAGCAGAAAAGTATAAAACTTAGGTATAAAAAGTAAAGCCATATTAATATGCTGAATAGTGAAGAACTTCTGACATTGCCATTTCTACGAATAACCCACCACTATTATGGACTACTGAACTGTATTGGAATAGTTTGTTGAATTCATGCACCTAAAATATTTAAATGGTAATGGAATATCAATATCTGACAAAACTTAACAAAAAAGGGATATAGATGAAGGAATATATTGTATCTGTATATATAAAATAGTTAGAATAGATATACAGCTACTTTCTCTTAATCAAATGAGAAAAAATTTTTGTACTAATAGCATTTGGACAGGATATTACATCTGCATCTTTTGCTATGAATAACACTAAGAAGACAACAACATGTAATGTATCAATTATTAAAACTGTTCTATTAATCGGTTTTGTAACTGTCTCATTGCTATTTATTTCTCAATAAAATTATTAAAAATAAATAAAATGTTTTATATTTCATCTGAATGGAAACTTTAGGAAAGCTACCTCCAGAACACAAGGAACAGAGGAGATATTGGTTGGTGAAATAGTGGCAAAAAAAGAGCCAAGTATCTCAGAAGACAACACAGAAGATGGCCAGAAGATAGCACAAGAATCAGGACTTCAAACTTTCAAATTAATAGCTGCAATAGGCAAACACTTTGCTTTACAAAAAGGCATCCCCAGAGTACCAGGATTTTTAATGTCAGTGGTCTAGAGAGTTGGTTCCTTTTGATGAAGTTTAGAGTGTTCGGTACCTAGGCATTTGACTTCCACATCCAACAAATAAAGAAGCATGGCTACGGATCCATTTGGTGGCAGAACCTCACATCATCCATATTTCAGACACATGAAGAATAGAAAGCTTTTGCACACATTTCAGAAGGTCTGTGCAGTCACATCCTGTGTTCATGTGAGGGGAGTGTGTGCTACTGAGTGGCAAGCCAAAGATGCAGTGGATACCCCAGAAGTCTGAAGAATCCAGAAATATGGATCATTGAAGGAAAACCTCAAAGAAGGAGCATGACAGCACAAAATAACAGGTGTGGGAGCTACAACGATTGGTAGTGGCACAGAGATGGGACCACACAAGTCCTTCAGTTTGTGTCTTGTCACAAATTTCCTCAGATGCTGTACATGGAGCTACAAGATTTAATGTTTTCTCTGCTGGATTTTCCATTTGATTTAATCCTATTCTTTTCTATATCTACATCATGTGTAACTTTTGAAGTGGTAATGTTTGTCTTTTGCCATGACTTTTTTTCCATTTTTACAAAGCCCAAGTTTGCCTTAAATCTCAGAGGAAACATTGGACTTTGACTTTTCAGCAATGATGAAACTGTTAAGACTTCAGCAACTTTTACAGATTAAGTGCTAAACTTTACAACTTTTGGAGAAAGACTAAATGCTAAATCTAAAGATGGACTAAAGGGATGTTCATGACTCCTTTGAAATTCAGGGGCAGAATGTTGTGATTTTTGTCTATATGTAACCCCAAAGTCTCATGCAGTCACAGGTAGGGCTTTTCAGAGGTAGCTGGATCTAGAAAGTGTGATGCAGGGATTGATCTACAGTGGAATGCTAGGATTAAGTGTATTTTTGATTAAGTGTGGATTATTACTAAACAGTCAACTTATGGGTTTGTCACCGAAGACTGGTGTCATAGATAAAATTTAAATGGGGTAGAAAGAGGCTGCCAAGTTTCCTTGTTTGGTTTTGTTGTTTTCTGTCTGCCATGAATAGTTTCTCCTTTGCAATGCACTTTTGCCACATCACCCTGCCTTGGAGACAACCAACCGTGGGCTGGAACCTCTATAAATTGTAGGCCAAATAAACTTTTTCTCCTTAAAAAAAAAGGAGATGCAGATGCAATAAAAATGTACACAGCCATCTTATCTTTGACAAAGAGGCCAAATATGTTCACTGGAAGAAAGATAGCCTCTTTAACAATTGGTGCTGGAAAAACTTACTGTGCATGCTGAAACCCAAAACTAGTCCTGGATCTATAACCATGCACTAAAATAAAGTTGATTAAAGATATAAACATTAAAATAAAAACAGTAAATCTTCTGAAAGATAAAGTTGGTGAAAATATTGAAGATATAGAGCTATGCAGACAGTTCCTGAATAAAAATCAATCTGCATGGGAATTACGTCAAAGAATGATTAGCTATGTTGCAACTTGTTGAGAAATTTCTGCATGTCAAAAGAAGTCACCAACAGAGTGAAAACACAATCCACAAATGGGAAAAAAAATCTTTACCAATAATCTCTCAGACGCAGGTCTCCTATCTAGAGTATATAAAGACCTAAATTATTGCACCTCTACAATTTAAAGATTAAATCCAAAGAAAGTCATCTGAGATGAATACACATTTCTCAGAGAAATAAATGCAAGTGGTAAATAAATACATGAAAATATATTGCACAGCAGTGACCATTTGTGAAATGCAAATTAAAACATCATTGAGATACCATCTCACTCTGGAAAGAATGGCTATCATAAAGAAATCAACTAATAACAAATGCCTGAGAGACTGTGGGGACAAAGCAACTCTTCTCCACTGTTAGTGGACATGTAGATTGGTACAGCTGCCAACCCATTTTTATATCCATTTATGTTCTCCAACATTTACAGAGAAGCCAAGATCAATCTCCTTGGACTACCACCTTCACAGAGTAAAAGTGCACATATCCTTATAGAGATTGAGCACTCTGTTGTACATGTGACCTGGTGTGTACAGTGTCATTAGTAGCATTGTGTTGGGGTGAATCTGTCCATTCAGGTTGTTTGTATGGTCTTCTTCTCTATTCATATTCCTGGTTGTGAAAATGTGGATTCCTGAGAGTTGGGGGCCTTTTTTTTGAATAATCTGTCTATGTTACTATGTCAGTTCCTGTAGTGGAACTGTGGAAAAGCAACAAGAATTGATTCAGCTTGTTGTAGATCTCAATTCCTCCTTATCCATTTCTTTTCTCCCATAAGCTAACCTGTTGTCATCAGACTGAATTTGTCATGTAGGTGACTGACCTACAGGCCTTATACTATGTGGTTTTAACAATACATGAAGATGTTGTTGTCCACCAGAGCTTACAAAGACAGCACATGGAGATACTAGTATGCTCACCCAGCTCAAGAAAACCAAACTCCTTGGTTGCTCAATCTCTATAGAGTATTCTCCTAGGGCCATATCAGTGAAGAATAACTGTTTTGTTTTATTGGTAATCTCATGTACAGAGAAATAAAGTAAATGGAAACAAGAAATAGTGGAATTAAGTGGAGAGGACAATATAAGTATGTGAGGGAGATAGAATTTGGCCAGAGGAAGAAACAATTTGATTTGATGCAAGCAAATGGTGAGAGAAAACCAGTAGCTCTGCTTTTGACCCAAAGTGAAATGTGGCGAGGAATCTAGAATTGGGCTCAGGAGAATATAGGGTGAAGAAATTATGTGGATAAAGATCTGTAGAACAAACTTGTTTAAAAGGACTAAAAGTAAATATTTCAAAATGAGGATAACAAGGGAGATAAGGGCAGTTTGGAAAATATTTGATCCTCTCAGATTTATTACAGATTCCAATGAGAATGAATACTCTGAACTTTGGATGATTGATTTTCCCATAGACTACAATGAAGGAGATAAAAAATAGATGTACTTGTTTTATTATCACTTGCCAAGCTGGAATGGGCACTGGACTTCTCCAAATCAGGCGTTACAAGGAGGCCCTCCTACTGGCTGGAGGTCATATCCCACCTCCTTTCCCAGACCATATACATTCCTGCTTTCCTCACTGATTTAGAGTGAGTGGCAGAGGTCTTCAGTTACCTGCCTGAAAATTGAAGGGGAGGTTTGAATAAATCTGCAATGGATCTGATCTGGAAATTTTCCATGGAAACCTGGTTTTTCCTGGCTCTCATTGTCCTGCTTCTCTATCTGTGAGTAATTGTCCATGCCCCTGTTTTCTGTTTTCTTATTACCCTGATGCTGATGTTTTGAGCTTCCTCCTCATATCTCTCTATTGTGGTGTTAAAAAGAGATGAACAAGACTGTGCCAAGTGTGATACAATTGACTTGAATTTGAACCTAAAATAACACATCTGAAGCCTAGAAATAACTGACACTGTATGACAGTTGAACCTTGCTTGATTTGAAAGCTTAAGAAATACTAGGACACACAATTTAATGTGCATCTGACCCAGTTATGCCTTGTTTATTCTGTCTGTTGGGAGACCTAAGGAATTAGCATACACATGTGAGAAACTGTTTCTTAATTTAGTTTTGTACCAAAAAATTTGAAGAGAAAACATTAATATAATTTTTATTTGAAAAACTTTATCTTATAAGCAATAATCAATTTATTGAAGGTGTCTCCAAAGAGACTATTGAAATTATTGAAAGCTCCCGATTAATGAACAAAAAAGTTTGTCTCACCTCTTTTCATTAATTGCATGCTTGAACCCTTTGATGAACGGTATACACCAATTATTCCCCATACTTTTATTGAGAAATAAATAGCGATGAGATAGTTTCAAATCAAATTGGTAGGACAGTTCCAATAATTAACATATTGCATACTGTCTTCCTAGTGGTTATTTGTTGTACAAGATGCAGATACGATAGCCTATTTACAAATACTATTGGAACAAATCCCTCTATTCACTCTATTAAGAGAATGTAGCTATATATATCTATCCTAACCAATTTGAATACACAGATACAAAATGGTCATTCATCTGCAGACCCTTTTTTTGTTTAGTTCTGTCATTTAAATATCATAGGTGTGTGAACTCAGCTTTGTATTCCAAAATAGTCCAGTAGTCCATAACATCATTGGGTCTTCTGGTTGACTGGCAACATCAGAAGTGGTTGACCTGTGTTCCCTACAACTCAACATAACACCACCTGACTAACTATATATTCTTTCTTTTTGCCATAATTTTATTGATAAACAAATAGCAATGAGACAGTTTCAAATCAAATCACTAGGACAGTTTCAATAATTAACACACTGCATACATTCTTCTTAGTGGTTAATTGCTATACAAGATGCGGACTTGATATCCTATTTACAAACACCATTAGAACAAATCATTCTATTCATTAAGAGAATGTAACTATATATCTATCCTAGCCAATTTGAATACACAAGTATATATTCTTTTCATTAATTGCATGCTTGAACCCTTTGATGAACGGCATACACCATATATATTTGGACACTTGTGAACTAAGCAACTGCACTGAAGTAATATTAGGTTCATGCTTGGAGTGCCTGTCATTCTGGTCTTCTGAATACGGGCTGCTTGTCATGACATGCCAGTTGCTGCTATGATGTCTCTCAGGTAGATGATTGTTCAAAAAGAAGGGGGTGGTGAATGAAGGCAAGAGACAGGAATAGGAATGTTGTGGGACTGTCCTGCTTCAAGATTGTATATGGTTAGATTTTTGGACTTACATGTAAACATAAGAATTATATAATTTTTATGCCTATTTTTAAAATATATTCTAATTTTTAAATGTTTTTTCATCATATTCTTTAGTGACTTAAAGTTTAACATATCAATACTTGATGAAAAATACCAGTTCCATGTTATGCCTAAGATGTTTGATATTCAGACAGATAGTTAGGTTAAGCTTAACAGCCTAAGTTGTATGGTAATAACAATAAGCTTGTCTTATGGAAGGTTAACAACCTAAGTTTGCAGACCAAATTTATATAAGGAGGGCCACAAGGAAAGCCAACATTTTGGCCCTAGCCTTCCAAGGTCAATTAAGATTCAGGACATATGAGAACTTGTACTGTAACGTCATGTACCTCGGTAGTGTCCCAAATTTTCTGATCAAGGAGATTATGGGGCCAAAGAGGAAAGTGATTGATGATGTAGAGTGTGCCTAAGGAGAGTCACCTGGAGAGAAAATATTCTCTCAGGCTTTCACAGAGAGCAGACTGGCCAAGCAATGGTCGTGACACATCCCCATGGCTGACACTGACAAAGGTTCTGCACTCTGTGGTACAGGATCTCAGGATAAATCCTGAGGGGATTTCACTGATCTTATCAGACCCAAAAGTTACCTCTCTTGTTGCATAGGTCCTGCTGTACCTTGGTCTTAACCATCCAGCAGAAATGTATGAAAACAAAATATATGAAGTAAATTCATGATGCTATGTTGAGCTGTATGGGACTCAGGTCAACAATTTCTGACATTGCCACTGAAGTGGAAGACCCAGTAGTATTATGGACTACAGGATGCTTTAGAATATTTTGCTGAGTTAACACACCTATATTATTCAAGTAACGGAACTTAACAAGAAAAGGGGATATAAACGAATGTCCATTTTGTATCTGTGTAGTCAAAATGGTTAGAATAGGTATATCGTTACATTCTCTTAATGAATAGAGTGACTTGTTCTAACAGTGTTTGCAAATAGAATATCATGTCCGTATCTTGTACAGCAATTAACTAGTAGGAAGAATGTATGCAATGCATTAGTTATTGAAGTTGTCCTACTTATTTGGTTTGAAACTGTCTCATTGCTATTTGTTTCTCAATAAAATTTTGGGATAAATTGAGGTTATTGTATACAGCTTATTGTTGGATTTTGTTTCCTAATCCACTGTACCTGTCTATTTCTCTTAATTATTAAATTGCTTCCATTTACATTGATGGTCATAAATGAGAGGTATTGACTTATGATTGACATGTTATTTACTTGTTGTTTTTACTCTTTTTTTTCCTGTGTTTAATTATTTGCCCTCTTTAGTTGGTTGCTTCTCATCTCATTCGTGGAGTTCTAATCATTTTGGTCCCTCTCTAGAACATCTTTCAGGAACCTATGCAGGTTTGGCTTTGCCATCAGGAAATTCTTTAATTGTTCTTTGTCATGGAAGTATTTCACTTCTGCACCAAACTTGAAAGAGAATTTTTCAGGGCATAGTAGTCTGGGCTGGAATTTGTTTACAAAGGGGAGTTGAAGTACTCTGCTCCATGCTCTTCTTGCCTTTATGGTTTGTGAAGAGTAGTCGGCCATAATTCTGATAGGATTTCCTTTCAATGTGCTTTGCTTCTTTTCTCTAGCAGATTTCAGTATATTCTTGTGCTGCATTTCTAGGGTCTTGACTACTATGTGTCTCAATGTGTTTTTAATTTGTTCGAGGTTATTTGGCATTGTGTATGCTTCAATTACCTGAATGTCTGATTGTATCCTCATATTTGGGAAGTTTTCTGCTATTACTTCTGCCTATACTTTTTAAAATGTAATTTGTATTGACTCCTTCTTTCTCCTTGATACTTATTAGTCTTACGTTGTTGTTTGCATCCTCTTGCAAGTGATGAATTATTTTTTCCTGCATCCTCCTGGTTTTTAAGGGATCTTTTCTTACCTTTTCACTAGCTGTACCAGCATTCAGGATCTGAAACTCTGCCTTCACTTTCACTCAAATTGTTTTGAAAGCTTTTGATTGATGTTTTAATTTCCTGTATATCTCTTTGACTCTGCTTCATGTGATCTATTTTCTTCCTGTATTGCTCATTCAAAGAATTCGTCATTTTTCTAATGTCCTGTATTTTTTTTATTGTTGTCTTCTTTAGAAGCAGCTATTAATTCTTTACTGCCAGAGTTTTTCAGATTGGGTTTCCTCCCTATGTTTCTGTAGTTGATTCTTTACTTCAGGTGCTATGAGTTCAGTGAATTCTTTTTTTATTTCAGAAAATTATTCCACTCTAGTTCCTCTATAACTTTATGCTGTTGCTTATTTACTTTAGATGCTATGAATTCAGAATTCATATATTTCAGCTGAGCTAGTGTCCTCTGCACTTGTTCTGGATGGGCATTGCGTTTCCTCCATATGTTTCTGCATTTGATTCTTTAATGCAGATGCTATTAATTCAGGGATTTCTTTTTTCATTTTCAATCTGAGTTCCTCTATACCTTTTTGCAGTTGTTTCTTCATTTCAGAAGCTGTTGATTCATTGATTTCAACTGTGTGATTCCCAATTTGTTCTGTGTTAGTGTCCTGTGGGTCTATGAGTATTATAGTAATCCTTAATGGCCTTTCCAACTTTATGCCAGAGTACTTCATTGAGTGAGCATGCCCTCTTCAGAAATCCCTGGCAACACTCCTAAGAGAAGACAGAGTAAGAAATTTGTGGTGAGGTCACTGTGATCCCCTGGGACTTAAGAAAAACCCTGATGATATCTACAGAGAGCTTCCGCTCCTGAGACTGCATATGCCCAATTTTACTCCTAATGAATTTTTCCCCTGGCATTCTCTCACAAGGCCGCTCTGCTGCCAGGGTTCAATCCTGAGCCCTATGAATGCCTGAGGTTCCTGATCAGGCACCAACTGTGGGACTACCGCCCTTGCAGAGAGGATTAGTGAGGATAGAATTGAAAGAAAGATACCCAAAGTCAGGAGATCCAGTGATGAGTTTATTTTGCTACAAGCTTATGTATAGAAAATCTAGATCTTGTGCCCTTATTTTGTCCTAGTTCACTCTAAGCATTCTTATTTTCCTGGGGTTAGAATAGTTTCTCAGGATGAAGCTGATAAACAGAAGAAACACTCAGTCTGCCTTATGGCCCATTGTCCAAACTGTGGGATAAGTAACCTGGGCACGATGCCACACTTTAATTCATTATCAGACTGTTTCTTCAGAAAGGTGAAGCCAATTTTGGGGGCTTACTTCCAACAATGTATCAGAAGCTAATGATTTTTTGATTAAGCTTTATAAAAAATGATCCTTCCTGTCATTGTACTCATGAGGTGCATTACCTGATGACAGAGATTCAATGAAGGGAGAAACAGTCCTTAGATGGAGTTCATGGTGTTTCATTCTTCCCTGCCATATCTTTTATGTAACATAGAGTTCTCTATAGCTAAAATCCATAACATTTCTCCTAACAAAGACTTGGGTGTCCCTCAGTTGTTTACATTTTTCTCAGGCCAGTATATGCCTGAACCTATCACTCTAGAGAAAGAATAGCATTATGACTTCCACCAGTTTCTTCCTGGAAGACAGGTTCTGAAGGCCAAATACTTAGGTAAATTCTTCTGTGGGAATAGAAACACATATTTGGTCTTAACCATCCATCAGAAAAATATAACCACAAGGTATAAAAAGTAATGTCATATTAATATGCTGAGCTATAAAAGGCTCAAGTCAAGAACTTCAGACAATTGCCAGTTCTGATAACCCACTACTATTATGGAGTATTGCACTATATTGGGATATTATGCTGAATTCAAGTACCTACAATATTTGAACAGTCATCAAGTATGAAAAGTTCCTTTAAACATGTCTCCAAATACAGCTTCT